AGCTCTGTGTGTGGGAGGTGAAGTGTTGTGTTTTTGTAGAGACTAGAGAGTGAACTCACCATCTACCATGTGCACAATATCTCTCAATCTAGCTAAGCCAGGGGAGGCGATGTGCCGGGGCCGCACAGCAGCTTGATGGTGCTTCCCGGACGGGCGGGCCAGGAGGAGGAAGGAAAATGGGGGACAACGCACAAACAAACGCGACCGACACCCGCTCTGTGTCGACTTTTACATGACAACAACACATGTACATGTACATGTTGTTGTAACTTCAAAGCAAACACAGTCGGAAGCGCCGCGCCGCGGCGCGTGCGATTGTCAGGCGCGGATCCGTCAGTTAGTCGTGTCCACGCCGGGAAGGTGTCCTTCACAACCTGCCCAGATAAAAGAAAGAGAGAAAACGGACAACCTAAAGCCAGATTTAGCGACAGACTCTCGCGGAGCTTTTTGACCGCGCAAGACATATAAGGGTGGCTCAGATGCGGAGGTGCGAGCGAGAGAGTCTGCCATGCAGCAACGCCCGCGAGCCGAGCCTCACACACGCTCACAGGGCGAGCTGCGCAAGCTCTGTGCGCCGCGAGAGGGAAAGGCAAGTGTCGGGAGGGAGAAGGGAATACCAGCACGCGCAGAAGGCACCGTACGTTAGGAGCGCTACGAGAATAGACGGTCAGCTCCTCGTCGCGACGTGGAGCTATGTCGGCTGGCACAGCGCGCCAGACACGCCAGAGCTCGACGCACCTACGGCCAGGAGGATTTCGCTTGTGCTACGATGCATACAATTTGGGACGGCGTGAAGTGGTGGGGCGGTAGCAAGAGGGGCAACGAGCGATGCACCACAGACTAAGCCGACGCTCGTTCGCATCCCTCGCCTCGCTCCTGGCCGCGCTTCCGCCGCAGCGATCGCGTGCGACGGGCTTGGAGGAGGTCCGCAAGGCGGCGTCGCTGCTGCCAGGCTACGGCCCGCCGGACATCGCCTTCCCGCCGCCGTTCAGAGGGCGCTGGAGGGTCACGCGGCAGGTCGTGGACGTGCAGACGCCGCTCGGGGAGACCGCGGCGCCGCGGGAGGCGCTGAGGCAGGCTCGCGACAGCCTTGTCGCGCCGCCAGTGACGTTTGAACAGCGGTTCGTGCAGGACTCGGAGAGGGCGGTGATCGCCGACCGCTCCTTCAACGCGGAGCGGCGCACCGCGGCCATCTCTGGGACCGCGCTTGCCGACCTCGAGGCGCGGTGGGAGCCGTCGAACCCGAATGTTCTCACGCTGGCTCGCGTGAGCACATCGAGCCTCGTAGAGACAAAGGTGACGAAGCGCAGCTTTGAGGCGCCGCTCGCACACCGAGGCCAAACGCCGAGCTCATCGCAACCGCAAAGCTGTGAGCAGGCCCCCTTCGACGGCGCCTTTGGCACGAGCGAGTACGCGCGTATC